TTCTCGCATTATTCACGTTAATGCGAAATATCCATGTATTAGCGTTGATTACCGCAAATTAAGGCGCGTTACCGCGCATTTACGCCCCACCTCCAGAAAGAAACCCTACTTTTGATCTCTTGCGTCACCGCTGCTCAGCAGTCGAGATCGGCTAAGGAAGCGCCGCAGGTAGCCACTGACGGATCAACTGCTCTGCCCGACTATGACCACGGATTGCTTGGCATTCCTTCTGTAGTTGCGTTAACTCTTCGTCGTACCATTGCTGGCGCTTACGCTTCTGCGCCAGGAACTCATTCTGGTTTATTCGGTACAGCATCCAACAGCGAAGTAGCAGGCGACTGTTCTGCGGGTTCTTGGCGTCCCGATCAAAGTCCTTTATTTGAATAGTCTTGGACTTGTTTTTCACACCCAGCAAGCGCTCGACGGCCCACTTGTCTGCCAGCCTTGCCCGTAAGGTGGCTGCTGCATGGGCAGCCTTGGAGTCTGCATAATTGCTGATGGTGAAGTACGGGTTATTCCAAAGCACAAAAGCGCCTGGAGCAGCCCTCACCGGTTCTACATGTGGCTTGGCAGCATCATCGGGTTCGCTGGCGGAGCTGGAGCCACTTGAGCATTCACTTTCTAAGTCTGGTTCCTCCGCTGAGCTGCTAGCCAGCCATTGATCAGACTCAAGGTCGGACTCCATCAGTGGCGAGTCATTCTCTTCGTCAGAAATCTCTTCTTCTTGGGCGCCTCCAGTTTCGCGCTGCGCGCGCGGGGGCCGCTCCACACGTTGAGCACCTTCCACATAGAGCAGGATTTCACTTTTTGTGATTTGGAGTACCTTCATCTGCAAGGCAAAAACATGCACATCAGGGCTCGCTATGGGTAACCCCAACTGCCCCAAGAGCACATGCAAAGGTAAAAAGCCTTCGTCGAAGGGTGTTGACAAATGCAAAGCAAATTTCCGAGCTTCTGTCGGCGAGGCGAGACTTGCCCACACTCTCTTGCGCAACGCAGCAGCGAAAACCACAAGCCGATGGGCCGCCCCGCCGGGAAATTCCAAGCAGTAGAAGCCTGGACTCGAAGCACCGAGGATCTGTATCCAGGGCTGCGGCTCCACCACGACCTCCTTCGGGTTGATGCGTGCAGCTGATGGCAGGGAATCCTGGGACCAGCGGGCTACCTACCAACATGAAACATTTGTTCAAGTTGAAGAGACACGGCTTGTTCAAATTGAGAAGCCACGCAGGCGCTCACCTAAAATTAAAATGACATGCTAAACCATGCGCGCAGGCGCATTGTCCACAAAGACCCTATGCGACAAAGACCTTCTATCTTCAGACGCTCCCCGCAGACATTGGTGAAAGAAGTCGGTGTTGCTGTTCACCCACATTAGCCATTGAGCGTTCGACACTGGAACGCCAATGTCTTGTGCTGCAGTAAGGGCTGCCTCAGCTGCAGCCCTGCGCTGCGCTGCTTCTTGTTTGAGCTCTTCGCGATGCAAGTCAACATAAGCATCAAACGCTTCCCTGTCACCCGGATGCTCTATTGCGCGTCTCTTCTGCGCGCTGATGCCTGCTTCCCAATGCAAAGCCCCCCGAGGCCTTGGCAAGAGATCTGGGCGCCGAGAGGCTGCAATTGCTCTCAAGTTCATAAACCGCTCTTTCTTCCACTTTTTGGTCTGTCGGCGCTTGTTGCTCAAAACGGATGACCTTCTGGACCGGTATCTTCGCAAGATGCAATTCCTAGACAGTCTTCCTAAGGACCTAATCTTAGCTTGGCCACGTTCCTGACATTTGTCATGAAAATGTTTTCGCTCCACGTCCATCGAAGTTACTTCAGCTTTGCAAACGAGGCGGTCTAGTTCATCCTGCACACTATCCGTCAGTAAATATGCGGTTGCCTGCGCCAGTCCGCCCCTCGCCAGCGCCTCTGCCTGAAGGGCGGCAGAATAGCCCAGATCAAGGCTCGAGCGGTCAAGCTCCAGAAATTCCAGAATCGATGCACGGAAGCCGGAGGGGTTGAATTTCCTTAGTCTGGGAAAGGTGTTCTGAAACTCCAAAGCAAAGGATTCACCCTCCGACACCCACGCAGCCCGTGAAAGAAATTGTCATCGGGACTGCCCGGAGCACCCACGTACGGGCCGTAAGGGGATTCACCCTCCGACACCCACGCAGCCCGTGAAAGAAATTGTCATCGGGACTGCCCGGAGCACCCACGTACGGGCCGTAAGGGGATTCACCCTCCGACACCCACGCAGCCCGTGAAAGAAATTGTCATCGGGACTGCCCGGAGCACCCACGTACGGGCCGTAAGGGGATTCACCCTCCGACACCCACGCAGCCCGTGAAAGAAATTGTCATCGGGACTGCCCGGAGCACCCACGTACGGGCCGTAAGGGGATTCACCCTCCGACACCCACGCAGCCCGTGAAAGAAATTGTCATCGGGACTGCCCGGAGCACCCACGTACGGGCCGTAAGGTGATTCACCCTCCGACACCCACGCAGCCCATGCAAGAAGCGGCCATTGGGAGCTGTAAGGGGGTTCACCCTCCGACACCCACCCACCCCTTCAAAACTCCCAAGACTGGAAACTAAAGCATTGCACCCAAGCTGCTTTGAAAGGGTATAGATCTTGGTTGGAAACTGAAGGAATACATCGAATCTCATGATAATTTGAGCCGCAGTCCCAAGGAGAGCGATCGCTGTAGAAGACCTGTCCAATACTGGATCATTGTCTAGTCTCTGCAAAAGTGAGGCCACATCTCTGCCAGCTTTTTTTTGCACATCGCCACGGCCTAGCCGCACAAGCATAGGCGTCTCATCGCCCTTTGGCTTCTGAGAGCAAGCATGCATGACGTGGGAAGACAACTGCAAACATAACGAGGCTTGCCGTAAAGCATGATCGGATGCGCCATTCTCAAAGAAGGCGCGGACCCTATCGATTCTTTTTGAATTTTCCTTGCCAGGAGAGCGGCCAGGAAGCCGAAGCCACACATCAGGCCCCAAGTTCAGCAGCTTCATTCTCAAAAGACAATTCACCGACTCCGCAAAAACAAAAAACCGCGAAGTAACTGGCTTGTCATGGACGACCAAGAGGCTTTGGCAAAGAATCCGGGCAACCATCTGACACAAAGAAGAGCGGTCTCGTTGCCGATCATGCTCACGGTGAACAAGTTGCGTAACACAGTGGTTCAGGGCTTGCGCTACATCATCTGGGATCACTGCCGGCCCATAAAGCTCTCTCAACTTGAGCGTGCGGCTTTCTGCAAGAATGTCCGCCGACTCCAATGCAACAACTTGCAGCGATGCACTGATATGCGAGGCCAGGTTTCGATGAAAATCGTCGTGGTAAAAATTCATAATGTATTTAAACAAACGAACGCAAGTCCCAACCAATTCGTTGCGCCGCGGGGGAGACTGTTGGCAGATTGCCCATTGGGCAACAAGATTGGATTGGTGCGCGGCGCAGTGCCACATCATCATTCGGTACGACACAACATCATCAGCCAGGCCAGACAAATCGGCATAGACCTTCTTGCCAGCTGCGCCGTTGACAGCGGCGCCATCGCCAACCAAGAGGTGGACCACGCGTAGTTGGCGAACTCCAAAGGAATTCGCCTTCAAGCCTTCCAAGACATTGCCGATAACATCTTTAGCTGCTGCAATCAAGGAAGAAGCTACGCTGCCGGCATTTTTCTTAGCAAGCCCGACTAATTCCGTCAAAACCTCAATGCTTTCTTGCCCAAGATGCGCGCGCAAAATTTGGTTTTGGACCGAACTTGATCGAGAGCGAGTGCTTGAATAGCTCATGCCCTGATGCCAAGACTTTGCTCTCATCACCGCTTCATCGTGAATGTGAACAATGATTACAGATGGGGGTACCCCTCGCTCTTTCGGCTCCAACAGAGTTGCCGAAGTCTTGAGGCATTTCCTATCCAAATGTTTTAGTACCTGACAGAAAGCATCTCTTGCACGTGTAACAGTATAGGAAGAAACGCCCGTCGTCTTGTCGTCCGCAAAAAACTCCTTGGTGAAAGAGCTCAAACTCGCGCTTGGGATGCTTGGATCCGACAACCCACACCTGATCCACCACAATGTCTGTGTTCGCAAGCCTGTTCGGATTGATAATTCCTTTTCCAATCTCTGCTCGGCCTCCGAACGCTTTCGTTGGGCATATTGCAATTTGCCCGTCATGGCTTTCAAACTCAAACCAGGCTCACCTCTGAATTCTGCACAATCAAATTCTTGATCCAGGGCAGTCAAGAAATGCGTGGCCGGCCCAAACAACGCATGATCCGGCCCCACATAATCTTGGAAATGCGCAACTATGTTGTACACTTCTTGCGCATGAGCGCCCAACCATTCTATATCTGCCATTGGTTCGCTCGAGCAATAATTTCGCAAAAGCAAACACCCCCAGCAGGTCGACATCTCGAAAACCCTTGAATATTCCACATGTTTCAAAAACAACGACTTCCATGACAGAAAACAAACTCTACGTGACGAAACAACGTAGAGAATACAAAAACTGCTTGTGTCAAAGGCTCCCAACTAATCTCACTTAAAACGACAACGACAACGACAACGACAACGACAACGACAACGACAACAACAACAACAACAACAACAACAACAACAACAACAACAACAACAACAACAACAACAACAACAACAACAACAACAACAACAACAACAACAGCAACAACAACAACAACAACAACAACAACAACAACAACAACAACAACAACAACAACAACAACAACAACCGCAACCACAACCGCAACCGCAACCGCAACCACGACCACAAGCTTGGGACCAACAACCAGCCAACTAACAAACGAGCAAAAGTTCAACCGAACAAAAGAACGGACAGACAAACAGACAAAAACAACCAACCAACCACACAATCAAAACCAGAAACAACCAAACAAACAAAGCAACAACACATCAAACAGTCAAGCAAAGCCAAACAAAGCAAACAAAGCCAAACCACACCAAACCAAACGAACTCGGCCTCTGCCATATGCTCGGCATCGGCCTCTGCCTTCTGCTCTCCATGCAGGTTCTGCGCAGCCAAAGATTTTCACTGGAAGGGGGGTATCGGTCCCCTAGTCCACCAACCAGTCAGGGATCCATAACCAATTCTGACCATGAATGGAGCTTTGACCACGGCACATGTTTCGGGGCAAATTGCTGAAATTCAGAAAGTGGAGACAAGGAATCCCAAGCAAGGCCTACATCATGGGTGAGTTTCACCCCCAGCTGAGCTCGTAACAATTTGCCCGGAGCAATAGGCCAAAACACCATCAGCCAATCCACAATCAGAACCCGGGATTCGGATTCGCGGGTGTGCCTCTCAAAGTTGGAGCCCTTGTTGAATCACCCAAACGGAGCAAAATATACAACCGAATGTGGAAGATGTCCAAGGAAAAACAGAGAGGGTACCGGCAGACCCCGCAAAAACCCTTTGGGATTGGGACCCAGAACTCTGCACTTGAGTCAGCAAAACCGACAAACGGTGTTTCTCTCAGAAACAATGCATAACGGAAGGAACCTCAAAAAACGAACCCAATCAATTCTAAGTGGGGTAGACCAATGGCTGCACGATTGCAGGTGAGCAGAATGTCAAAGAATGTGCACTGATCTGCGTATGGTCATGGAACTCCAGAACCTTTCCATTTTGGGTTCATTTTGTTGACTTGCAAGGTGTAGCACCAAAACATATTTGGCTTCCCGCGAATTTCCCTTTCCCCCAAGAAATGCTACCCTGAAAACACTACGGCCCCATTCAAGACATCCCTTCGCACTGTCCGCCCTGAAAAAAACAGGCCTTCCGAATCAGCCCCCGATCTGCCCCAACAGGTTCGGCCCCGCGTGGATCAACAGAAGGTTCCTTGTATGAGTGCCCTTTTGGAAGGTGCTCTTTTGGCAGTCATGGTTGAAGGCCATTAAACAAATAAGTAAATGACAATCCCACATGCCCCCTTTCAGCATCACCGCTCCCCCCCCTCCCCAACTGGAAATACACAAAAGCCTTGAAGCTATGTCAACTGGATTGTCGCAGCTGAATTCTGACTGAGAATGCACCCAGAAAGAACGCAAACAAGTGCCACTGGACGGCAGGCAAACTTCGTGGATCATCCTGTGTTGTGTTTGTCTTTTGTGGGGGAGTTTGAGTCTCCCAAATTTCAAAATGGGACACTTTGACCGAACCTCAAATTGGAAAAACCAGGAGGCTCCTACATTGTGACCCTGATAGGGGTTAGGGGTGGGGGTCCCATAGATTGGGCGCGCTTTGCGACCAAATGGCTATGAGCTTTGAAGGGAACCCCTCGAAGTGGCTGGCGGGCATATATCCTCATGTAAACAATGTCCACTAAAGACTGCTTATGAACGTTAACCTGGCCAGTAGCATGCAAGTTCATGCTGAACAAACATGACTTTTGCATAGCTTGCACCCACGCCCGCAAAGCCGGATGGTTTCCTTGTCCCTAACAACGCCAAAGTGGTCACGTGGCACTGGCATTGCTATGGTTGCAGCTTTCTAATTTTAGGACACCAACTCGCGCATGATGCTCGCCCTCCGAAAGCAACAGCGATCGAATGCGGTTGGGTGCCTCGAGCATGGAGTTGCGGATATTCCCAGTGCTCTCCAGCTGTGTGGAGGTGAACTTGTAATCTTTCCTCGAAACTCCAGAAAATGCGTTGGGTTCAATCCGTGCCACACATGCGCACCCGAGCCTCACTAACGTAGCAGCGGACCCTACAAAACCAAGAGGAGCTTATCTTCCAGGTACTCTCCAGGTGCCTTCTGGGGCACCTTTTGCATTGGGAAAGAACTCCCCGAAGCTTGGGAAGGGAGTTAATCACGGTTCTGTTCCCCGTCTACAAACCTCCTCAAAGGGGCCTTCTCAAGACCTCAGCCTTTAAAACCCCCAACCCAAAGTAAGATGTTTGTTTATGGTCTATTCACAAACCTGCGAATGTAAAATCAAACAAGGCAGCGCCAAACATGGGCCAAAAAAGGGAGACATCTCAGCGCGCCTTGTAGGAAATATGGCACAAACATCCGTGTCACAAGAGGGTTGGGGCAACACTGGTCAAAGCGAAACTCACCGCATCTGCAAAAAAAGGCTGGCTCCTGATTTTTCCCTCTGCAAATACGACACCCCCAAAGAAGGAATCTGATATCGCAGATTTCTGGCTGAGGTCGATCGCGCCAAGTTGGAATATTTACACATGTCAAAACCCAGCAACTCCTTGAAAAGGGTACCAGAAAATACTTTACTCAAGTACCCCTTGCCCAGTGCGATGCTCACTTCCGTGGATTGGCCAAAGTCAGAACTTTCTCTTTAAAATGATATTCCCAAAAGTAAGTCCAAGAACTCGGAGAGTCAGCAGGAGATTCCTCCGCAAATGGCTTCTTTGCCGTGCCGATTTCTACCGTGACCTATTTTCTAGCCACCAGAGGCTCCAAAAAAAGTCAGGCCAAGGGACTGAGCTAAAACTACCACAAGTTCGCCCCAAAGAAACCGGACATGACATGGCTGTGGGTGTCAAAAATAGGGCAAACCCCAAATAGCTTGCCCTGGTAACTGGAACCGAAGACTAAAACCTGCGGTCCCCTGGTGGCTTAATGTTGACCCACACCCACATCTGAGCAATGCTTCTGGGCGGCTCGCAGGTCTGTTCCCTTTCCACCTCACCGCAGATGTGCACATTGCAGGCTGACAAGGCCATCTCCAGGATACGCCAGGGCACGCTCAGCATGCGAAGGACCTGACGTGAAGACCAGAGTGCTTTATCAATCAAATATATATATATATATATATATGTATGTATGCATGTTTGCATTGTATGTACGTACGTACGTGTTTGTACGTACGTACGTACGTACGTATGAATGTATGAATGCATGAATGTATGAATGTATGAATGTATGGGTGTCTGGGTGTATGAATGTATGAATGTATGAATGTATGAATGTATGAATGTATGTATGTATGTGTGCATGTATGTATGTATGTATGTATGTATGTATGCATGTATGCATGTATGTATGTATGCACGTATGTATGCATGTATGTATGTATGTATTTCTGTATGTTTGTATGTATGTGTGCATGTTCGTGAGTTTGTATGTTTGTTTGTTTGTGTATGTGTAGGTGTATGTGTACGTGTGTGGGTATGTGTATGTGTATGTGTATGGATATGTGTATGTGATGTGATGTGTATGCATATTCATACGTGTATATATATATATATGTTTGTATATATGCATGCAAGTATGTATCTCCGTGTGTAACTCTGTGTGTCTGTATCTACTTGTCTATCTATCTATCTATCTGTCGATCTATCTATCTATCTTTCTGGTGTCTGTCTGCCTATCTATCCCTACCTGCCCATGTAGCTCTGTAGCTCTGCAGCTCTGTGTCTCTCACTATCTGTATCTCTGTATGTCTGTGTCTCTGTATCTCTGCATCTATGTGTCTATGTATCCACGTATGTATAAAGTACTGCTGCATCTATGTATCTACGCGTATGTGTCTGTATAATGTGTATGTCTACACGTATATGTAAACACCCATTCAGAACAAAGTGGTGGAATCTTACCATTTACGCCCCCTAACCTTGAACCCGCCCTGCTTCTTTGGGCTCGGTCCGATCCTAGTTTGTTCAGCCAACCCAACAAGAAGGCAGTGAATGATATCTGTTCCACACACTCCTAGGTGTCCGTTTGGAAAAATAGATGGCACTGGTACATGATTGGAAGCAACCCTTATGTTCAACCACACTGACCTAAAAAGGCCGCCTATCCTTACACTGCTTAGGTATGCAAGGTCAGAGGATTGAGCATTAAAAGGAAAGCGAATGGGGAATGGTCATGAGGGTGTACGACCTCCCCGACCTATAGCCAACTGATACAACTAGACGACGGGTGGCCCGGAAGCAACGAAACACGTTAAATCAACTCTGACGCCTCCCCCACCTCATGAGAAACAATGAACAAAGCGCAAACACGTCAATGTCCCTGGTCAAGCCTAGCTTCTACAGTTCTGATGCGCAAGCTTGGCATCATGCTTCTCGTGACAGTTTCTGTTGCGCGCAGTGTTGTGACTTGATGCTGTGCGCGAAGCTGTGCGTGGTGCCGTGCGTGATGCTGCGCATGATGTTGCAAATGATGTTGCGTGTGACGCTGCGCGTGATGTTGCCCAAGATGCTCTACAACACCTCTTGTCCACGCTTTGTGCCCGTTTCTTTTCTCAACCTCTCTTGTCCAAATCAGTGCGCAGTTTGGCTGCGCAAGAAGGCTGGCTGTCTTAGCTACGGAAGTGTATTTCGCACACCACGTTTGCGCGCATAAGTTGAGATTTCAAGCTGGAGATGCGGAAGTGCAACTGGGTGTTTCTTTTGCGCTTGAAAGCTGTCATTTTCGAGCTGGGGCTGCGAGAGCGCACTTCGCGCACGACCATTGCTGTAGACACTTAGAGATGCTTCAGCGGGATCGCATTCGAAAAATTGCGATTCTTGGGCCAGAGCCATTGCGTCCTACTATTGTACTCACAAAAGTTACCATTTGCGATCCGGAGCTGTGTGAATGCCCTTCGTGCGCTGCTTGCATACTTGAAACTTGCGTTTTTAGCCGGAACTGCTTGCGTGCTACTTTTGTACTCAAAACTTGCGACAATGCTCTTCGCGTGCTGGTTGCGTACTTGAAACTTGTGTTTGTAGCCGGAACCGCGGGAATGCACTTCGCGTGCTACTTTTGTACCCACAACTTGCGATTTTGCAGGAGCACAGCCTCCGCACTATACTTTTGTACTTGAGAATGGCTATTCTTGAGCCATGGGAATGCTCTTCGCGTACTACTTTTGTACTTAAAACTTGCGACTTTGGAGCCAGACCTGCGGGAGTGCTCTTCTTGTACGACTTTTGCATTTAGAAACTGCGACTTTGCAGCCGGAGCTCTGGGAATGCTCTCTGCGTACTACTTTTGGACTTAGAAGTTGCGAATTTCGAGCCGGAGTTGCGGGAGTGCGCTTCCTGTACTACTTTTGTACTTAGAAATTGCGATTTTGCAGTCGGAGCTCTGGGAATGAATGCTCTTCGCATACTACTTTTACGCTTTCAACTTGCAAGCTTTCAGCCGGCGTAGTACTTTTGTACTTAGAAGTTGGGAATTTCGAGCCGGAGCTGCAGGTGCGCGCTTCGCATACTACTTTTGTACGTAAAAGGTGCGATTGTGCAGCGGGAGCTGCGGGGGTGCTCTTCGTGTTCTACTTTTGTATTTACAAATGC